ATATATATGTACATGTATTTTATTATTTTACATAACTTATTTGTGTGTATTTTTTTCTGTTATGAGATTTATTTTATATTTTAAGTTGATTAACCAAACCGTAATTGTATAGGATTTAAATCAGTCAATTTCTAAAAAGCACAAATTTTTAGAAAACTGTTACAAAAGTTGTTTGTTTTATTGTGTAGAATAATCCCGTAATAAAAAATATAGATTTCTGTTTACACCCAAAATTAATGGCACCATTTTATGTTCTTCTTGAAGTTATAAAACTTTGTTAAAAAACAATCTTTTTTTTAGTCTAATTTCCAGAAATTGACTGTTTCAAATAAAATGGGACATCTTGTATAATTGTATTCTAACAAACCTAAAGATTCGACTATTTGAAACTATTAATCGGTAACAGTGGAATTCATATTGCAAACTTATCTTTTCACATGAGAAACTATTGTGGATGGGGATTTACGGATTCAAAACACTCATCGACAACTATTGATAACTAGAAGAAAATTTAACGAAAAATATTAGAAATTATTGATCCAAAACAGTGAAATCCTCATTGGAAACTATGCATTACTTCACCTTGAAAACTATTATGGGAAATTATCGAATGGGAATTTATCGATTCAAAACGCTTATTAAAAACTATAGAATTTTTTTCTATAATTTTCTATAGTAAATTTTAAGCAAGCGCCACTTTCAACAGGAAAAACAGCTTAGCAAATATTGTACAATTCTTTAACATAATTGGTTCTTGTCCTTAAATTCTCACAGTTCTAAATGTATAAACCAAAATCATAATGAAGATTTTTAAAAGTTGTAAAGTTTTTTCTACCGAACGTAATGTGAACGTGATGTGTCTACACGCACGTAAATTCAAACTCAACATCAGATGCATGCACAAAATCTTCAGTAATATCATAATAAACGCAATTATGACCTAAACATTTTAAAAAATGTTGAAATAACAATACACATTACGAAATAATTGAAAATATAAATGTTTTAATAAAATAACCAAGCAAGACAAATTATCTCATCATAATGCCGTCATTTTGATGTCAACGTGACATTGATCGAGTTTTTCCTACATAATACTTTTTTTTTTTAACGAGAGGAAGAGAAATGCATTTACGCGCCCCTGGAGGTAACCGTTCCCTCCAGGGAGTGTGGGACTCACTTGCTGGCCAAGTACTACCCACTAAAACCATCCTCTATACGAATATAACACTAAAGGCTTACGGATAGAACCCCGGGACGCCACAGGCACAACTTCAGGGCTCATCCAACCATGCTCGTAAAACCAAAGCCCAACAATTACGGTTATTAATTAACTTCTTTGACTGCTACAGGAATCCAATACTCGGACATCCACACCACCACCAGGACCAGGGATCCCAGGATCAGGAAGGGCGAGGATTCACATCGCGGGAAGAGGAAACGGAATTAGGTAAGAACCAGTTCCCACCGGACCCCAGGCGCGCACATGCGGGAATGCGGGAAACGCGTAGTCGATAGCCGCCACACGGGGGACAGATACGACCACGCGACTGGACCGGGCGATCGGCATAACCGATCCCCTAGGCCACCACGACCAACGCACTCTGTCTTCGTCTCTCCGCATCTTCCTTGAGAGACATAATTTCACCTATCATTGTTTCTATCCATTGCTACTCGTCTCGTCCCGACAACATAGATTCGACGAGCGTTCCCTCAGATAATCTTTTCCTGAGTCTTCGCTCAACTTCTTCGCGTAAATAAGACCATGCCTCACAACGAAACACCGTGTGACCAGCATCGTTCCGTCCTGCAGGACAAAATTCGCAACGCTTCGTATAAAACTTTCTAATCCTATACAAATATGAACTAAAACAGCCATGATTCGTCAATGCCTGCGTCAATCGATATGACAAAAACCCATGAGTTCTGGATAACCACTTCTCCAAGTGTGGAACTATTAGTTTTCGGGTGTACAACGCAGCATCGTCCGGAAATATCTCAGTCAACATTTCTCTCCACTCTGTAATTATGTCATTCTTAGTTCTAAGTTTAACAACATTTCTTGCTTGATAGGTAAGCTTACATTGGTGTCTAAATTCTAATTCCGAAATACGATCATACACCTTTTTTCTGCTCCTGGCCAAGATGGCGAAGGGAGGAATTCCCGCTAAAAGCAGTGACGTCGTCAACGATACCGTACGATACCGTACGATAGGCCGAGATAACTCTAATCGCACGCCTCTGTATACGATCAATCGACTTTAAATTCCTCTTAGTGAGGACTTCATCCGTGGCCTATACCGGAGCACCATACAATAGTATGGAGTGCACTACGCTCAACAATAGTATGGAGTGATACGCGTACAACTTACGCTTATCAAATTTAGGACTGCGCAGGTTGGGCATCAAGAGGTCCAGTCGCGATAATACTCTTTCCGCCTTTCCCGATACCATCTCAAAGTGATGAGTAAATTTCCATCTATTGTCGATTACATTATCGAGATATTTCATCCTATCGGTTGACTGGATAGAGACCCCATCCACCAAAAAGGTGAGACTTTTATCCTTAATGTTACCTGGACAAAACAATACAGCCTCCGTCTTAGAAGGAGCAACTTCGAGCTCTAGACTTTTGTTGTGCGGGTCG